TGCGTCCCGAGTTCCACTGGCATTGCCCATCTGTACAGGACACCATAGTCAATCCTCCATACACAGCATTTTGTGCCTTCAACAAAACACTACTGTTAGAATAGTCAATTACAGTACAGAACACTAGTTTAGATGGTGTTCACAGCTGACTAGTTTACTCCCTGCAGTCTCCACCGTGCCGACAGATGATACAAGAATCCAGTCAGAATGATGGTGTGTTTTGCTCTGACTGGGCTGGTCATCTGCTTTGAGGAACACCAGGTTGTCATCCTCAAGACAGTGAATAAGCACCCGCCAAACTTTGCCGCTGTGGAGGTATTGATATGCCTCTGTGCTTTTGTAGCTCCTCATCTCTGACCCATCCACACAGAGAGATGAGACAAAATAATTGAAGATGTCTTCGTAGGTGATATGTGGCCATTTTTTCATATCGTCCTCACACTCTTGAATAATCCGCAGATGTGGCACAGACTTGTCATTCGTCTTTGAAATGTTTTTCTTGATATGATCCCACGACATTTTGAGCTAGCTAGCCAACGTTCGCAAAACGGCAAGAACGCCAAAACGGAAGTCCTCCACAAAACAGAACGTTCGGACATTGTTTTGTTTCCGGGTTCTTAAATAAGGTGAATACTGTTTTTTGTTAATTTCAAAGAACATATCATTCATTGGACGACCTTACTTGAAATGTGATTGGACACCAGTCAAAGACCCGCGTGGGAATGAGATTAGATTGAGATCATTGCTTTGCTGATGCTGATGATGAGTGATCCACGCGGACCCTTTGAATTTTCTAAGTAAATAAGGTAAGAATCAGAATCAACTGAATTAAATGATCGTACCCCAAGGTGAAATAATAATATATGTAATATATCATTTTCAGGGCAATATTTTCCAACATTAGCTACAGCCGGGTTAGCAGGCTGTTCAGAAATACAACAGCACAATTTTCCATTTTGTTCACCGAGACAATAGTGCTATTGTTCAGATTGAAAACTACTGCATATTTTCACAAAAAGGTACAATTATGGATTGAAATTAGCTAGCGCTACCTGCTAGCTACCAGCACTTCAACATAATCTCTGTAATTTTTGACCCAATAATTTTAATCTGCTTGCTAAATTAACTGAATTTAGATAAAAGCATGCTTGTGTCATTATATCATGAGTGATTGATGGGTTTGAATTTTTATTTATATCAATTGGTCAAAGCAGGCAATTGAAACCGCAAATTCCCTTGAAAACAAACATATTGAAATTACTATTCACAGAATGGACATAAAGCCTAAGAAGAATTGTCTTCCAAAGAGACAAAGGTTTCCCACAAAGAAGGTGCAGGATATGTCTCCAGAATTGGACACAAATGAGCATTCTGGTAAATACTGCGCTAATCTGAAATCATATCAATGTTTGCTACCCGTAGGATAAGCACCAGGAGAATATGATGATGTGCAAATCTGTGTCTCTTTTCCCGTGTCTCGACCCCAGTGATCTTTTGAGTAACATATGGCAGACCGCCTTTAACATTTTCTCTCCCTCTTCTCAATTTCTCTCTCAGGACATTTTGCTTTTGTGAGGTTTGAGGATGGATACACTGCAAAAATCTTCCAAACATCTGATATTCTAGATGAAGAAAGCAAACTTGGACTTTACAAGAGGCAGTTGAGAACTCTACCATGACAAGAGATTTCTGGATAGCTTGGAAATCGAACACATTAGAAGTGTTGGGTGCGATGTCACTAAGTCAGTGTGAAAACATTAGCAGTGTTGGGCGCTAACCCTAACCCTTCTCACAAAAACGTCTAGAGAGACTGAATGGTTTGAGCTAGAAACTATTATGACCCACCTATGGAAAGCTGAGACTCTCAAACACGTACATGTAATCGGTTTTGCTCTTTCCATAGGTGGGTCATAATAGTTTCTAGCTCAAACCATTCAGTTGGGAAATAAGTATTTTGACCCCTCTGCAAAACATTACTTAGTGCTTGGTGGCAAAACCCTTGTTGGCAATCACAGAGGTCAGATATTTATTGTAGTTGGCCACCAGGTTTGCACACATCTCAGGAGGGATTTTGTCCCACTCCTCTTTGCAGATCTTCTCCAAGTCATTAAGGTTTCGAGGCTGACGTTTGGCAACTCGAACCTTCAGCTCCCTCCACAGATTCTCTATGGGATTAAGGTCTGGAGACTGGCTAGGCCACTCCAGGACCTTAATGTGCTTCTTCTTGAGCCACTCCTTTGTTGCCTTGGCCGTGTGTTTTGGGTCATTGTCATGCTGGAATATCCATTCACGACCCATTTTAAATGCCCTGGCTGAGGGAAGGAGGTTCTCACCCAAGATTTGACGGTACATGGCCCCGTCCTTCACTTTGATGCGGTGAAGTTGTCCTGTCCCCTTAGCAGAAAAACAACCCCAAAGCATAATGTTTCTACCTTCATGTTTGATGGTGGGGATGGTGTTCTTGGGGTCATAGGCAGCATTCCTCCTCCTCCAAACACGGCGAGTTGTGTTGATGCCAAAGAGTTCGATTTTGGTCTCATCTGACCACAACACTCTGAGCTGGGCTGAATCCTCACCGTTCTCATGATCATTGTAACTCCACGAGGTGAGATCTTGCATGGAGTCCCAGGCCGAGGGAGATTGACAGTACTTTTGTGTTTCTTCCATTTGCGAATAATCGCACCAACTGTTGTCAGCTGCTTGGCGATGGTCTTGTAGCCCATTCCAGCCTTGTGTAGGTCTACAATCTTGTCATTGACATCCTTGGAGAGCTCTTTGGTCCTGGTCATGGTGGAGAGTTTGGAATCTGATTGATTGATTGCTTCTGTGGACAGGTGTCTTTTATACAGGTAACAAGCTGAGATTAGGAGCACTCCCTTTAAGAGTGTGCTCCTAATCTCATCTCGATACCTGAATAAAAGACACCTGGGAGCCAGAAATCTTTCTGATTGAGAGGGGGTCAAATACTTATTTCCCTCATTAATATGCAAATCAATTCATAACATTTTTTACATGCGTTTTTCCTGATTTTTTTGTTGTTATTCTGTCTCTCACTGTTCAAATAAACCTACCATTAAAATTATAGACTGATCATTTCTTTGTCAGTGGGCGAACGTACAAAATCAGCAGGGGATCATATACTTTTTTCCCTCACTGTAACTCACTGTGTTGTTGTTGTTTTTATCGCACTGCTTTGCTTTATCTTGGCCAGGTCGCAGTTATAAATAAGAACTTGTTCTCAACTGGCTTACCTGGTTAAATAAAGGTTAAATTAAAAACTTAAAAAACTTAAAGCTAAATCAGGTTCAGGGATAGCTGAGATACAATCAAGGTCACTAATATAAAGTTCATGTAAAAAAGCTTGTTCACTAAAGTTCTTAGTGATGACATGAAAGTTATATGTATGCATTTTCACATCTCTGACACAGAAAACTGGCCAATGGTCACTGTAATCCAGTGGGAAAACCCAACTAGCAACAAATGTATTTGGAGTATTTGTCCAAATAAGATCAATCAGGGTAGGTTGATGGATCTTTAGGATTTGGCTGTGTAAGCCAAACATTATTTCAGTGTATCTGACACTGGCGTCCTCCAATCAATATGAAAATGGTCCATAATTAATAGTTCAGATTTACCATACTTAGATACCAATTCAGATGAATTGTTAAGAGCACTCGACGGAGCAGAGGGAGGGTGATACACTCCTACTAGTGTTAGCTGCTTATTATTACCAAGTCCTACATTAGGAAAGAGACAATCAAACTGCTTAGGGACAGAGGTAGGGAGAGAGAAAATTGTAATTGTCCTTTGTAAATATGGCAACACCCCCACCTCTGCCAATTCTGTCCATTCTGTAAACATTATAACCAGACAAAGACACATCAGAGTCCAGCACAGAATTATTCAACCAAGTTTCAGAAATTACCAGAATGTCCACATAGGACTGAGAAGCCAGAATTTCAATCAAATCCATCTTTGTAATCAAACCTCAGGCATTTATATAAACAAATCCAAGACTGCAGCTTCTGATTTAAGGTCAGATGGAGTTTGTAATACAAGCATGCTATGATCAGTACGTAACCCCTTATTTAAAAAGACCATAGGATTGGTTTGAATTGCTATAGGTACAATATTGTCTAGAACTGAACCATTGGGCCTATGTCTCGAGCGAAGACGTGGATTAAAACAAGAGTCAATGAGGGTTACCTGCAGTATAATGACAATGCTGATCATTTATGGTTGGGATTACCTGAGCGGGACTTGGGGTGTTGATAAGTCTCAGCGCATCCTTGAAATGCAAGTACAGGCATCAAGATGATTTGCATGGACCCCATCCTCTCTGTAGAGCACCTTCTGTTTCCAAAAGGTGTCTCAAAGTAATTGCAACAGAGTTACAGTAGACTCGTATTCAGCAATTTACTGAATCTTTCCATGCCACAATTTAGTGATGGAACTGGGCCTGAAATAATTGGATGCTTGTTGGAGTCTTTCAGAGTTCCAATCAGTTCTTTATAATCCCATTTCAGATGTTCTGAGCTAACCATCCTAATGTCATTAGATCCCACATGGACTACGACAGCGACAGCCCCCGTGTTCTGGAGTAAAATGGTAGGAAGCAGCCTAGTAATGTCCTGTACTCAAGCCCAAGGATAGCACAAGGTTTTTGCCCCGGGAACTGAGATGTTTCTCACCATAGAATTGCAGATAATAATAGCTGGTGAGATGGAAGAGGAGGTCTGCCAGTTTTTGTGCCTCGAGCCGGGCGCATAACCCATTGTGGCTGATGGAGGAGCAGGTGCTTCAGACACCCTCGAGGTCCGGTGATCCGAGTCCGAGGCAAAATCCCCCTGGGGGTCCGGATAGGGAGTCAGTAAGCTCCTTCTGGATGACTTGGTGGATGTTCCTGTTCTTGATCTAGTCAACCAGCCAAGGAGATACGTCACTCGGCATGGAAGTCGAATGTAGCAGCATCTGGCAGTAGGGGCCTCCTTGGCGATGAGATGCCCGGACCGGACACAGACTTCAAACAGCTTCGCTGCCCTGGATCCATTGGTTCCGGCGCCTTCATCCCTTGGTGCTTCTGCCTCAACATCGAATCCGGAGGTAACTGCACCTTCGTCCTCTGTTCTGTCTCAATCTCCGGTGGCTTCTAACTCTGTTTCAGATCTTCAGAGCTCTCACCCTCAATGGAACATGAGGGTGTCTGAGACTCTGGCCCCTCCATCAGCCACAATGTATTCTACAGCTGGCTCAGGTCATCAATCTGAAAGTTTCCAAAAAGCTGCCAATTATTTCAGGCCGGTACCATCGTTGGGCCGCAGCTGTGAAAGATTCAGCAGGCTACTGGCATTGCACACCTGGCTAAAAGATTATTGTAGCTCTGTTGGCATAACTTTTATAGATAACTTTGACACCTTCTGGAAACAGAAGATGCTCTACAGGAATGACAGAGTCCATTCAAATCATCTTGGCTCCTGGACTCCACACATTTCAAGGCTGCATTGAGACAATGACTTATCAATGACCCAAGCCATGCTCAGATAACCCCTAACATTGTGTCACTGAGTTGTCGTATTGCTGTAGCAAATATACATTGTCCTAGAAGCATTGGAAGTCATAATGTAAGTTAGCTACTTTATTTCCCTCTAAGTCCCCTGAATGCCTCTGCAATCCTATAGCTATTGTATGCAGTAATCATGTGTCTATAAAGCAGAGTTATACTGTTACCACTGAGGCGGTGTTCCCTAGTAAGAAGTTCAGCTCAAGCATAAATATCACGGTCATGTCTACTTCTGATAAGCCGCTCAGTAAAGCAATCAAAACAAACAAGCATTCTAGTAGTGCTAAAAATTGCCCATATGATATATTTTTGTAAATGTAACCTTTATTTAACTAACAAGTCAGTTAAGATCAAATTCCTATTTACAATGATGGCCTACCCCGGCCAAACCCGGACAACGCTGGGCCAATTGTGCGCCGCCCTATGGGACTCCCAATCACGGCCGGATTGTGATACAGCCTGGAATCAAACCAGGATCTGTAGTGAGGCCTCTAGCACTGATATGCAGTGCTTTAGACCGCTGTGCCACTCAAGATCCCAAAAGTGTCAGAAGTGGGATTAACATATGTAGCCTAAGAAACAAGGTACATAAAATCGATAACTTGCTAGTAACAGAAGACATTCAAATACTGACTGACTATCTCTGAAACTCACTTATACTGTAGATAATAAATTTTATTATATAGAGGTAGCAATACATAGTTATAACATCTACAGATGTAAAACTTAGAGAGGATCTCATGTCAAATACTGTTGAAGAAATAAGGCTATAGGATCACCTGCCTCACCTAAAGGCCATTCTTGTGGGAAGCAGTTATAGACCACCAAGTGCTAACAGTCAGTATCTGGATAATATGTGTGAAATGCTTGATAATGTATGTGATATTAACAGAGATGTATATTTTCTGGGTAATGTAAATATTGACTGGCTTTCATCAAGCTGCCCACTCCAGAAAAAGCTTCAACCTGTAACCAGTGCCTGGAACCTGGTTCAGGTTATCAGTCAACCTACCAGGGTATTTACAAACAGCACAGTAATGAAATCATCCACATGTATTGATCACATCTTTGCTAATGCTGCAGAAATCTACTTTAAAGCAGTATCCGAATCCATTGGATGTTGTGATCACAATATAGTAGCCATTTTTAGGAAAACAATAGTTCCAAAGGCTGGACCTAATATTGTGTATAAGCGGTCCTATAAGAGGTTTTGTAGTGATTCCTATGTTTATGATGTAAAGAATATTTGCTGGTCTGTGGTGTTTAATGAGGAGCAACAAGACGCTGCACTTGACACATTTATGAAATTGCTTACTCCAGTTACTAATAAGCATGCGCCCATTAAGAAAATGACTGTAAAAACGGTTAAATCCCTGTGGATTGATGAGGAATGACATATTGCAAATTCAGATATCATGTGACTAAACTGAATAAAAAGAAGAAACTATACAATGAAACAAATAAAAAAAATATATAAAGTATGATAGTAAAAAGGTTTGGTGCACCTTAAATGAAATTTTGGGCAAAAAGGCAAACTCAGCTCCATCATTAATTGAAAAGATGGCTCACAAAACCCACTGATATAGTGAATTACTTTAATTATGTTTTTAATTTGCAAGAATAAGAACAAGCTTAGGCATGACATGCCAGCAACAAATGCCAAACCTACACATCCAAGTATAACTAACCAAATTATGAAAGACAGGTGTGAAATATTTGGCATTGGTCCTCAGATCCAAGAAAGGAATGAAGCAACAATAAAGATAAATATTATAAAAGGCAGGCTATATATGCATCAGCTTGCTAATTATACAACAAGGCCCTAATATTTCTCAAAATTAAAATCAAATTCACTAGCGTATACTTGTATCTTTGTATGCCGCATGTGCTGCCCCAGAATCTCTTCTGCTTTATCATGGTTTGAACAATGTGCGTAATTCAGTCCATATAATACAGTATAATACAATACAGTAACACAGTTCACTCTCAAAATGATTAGCCTACTGGAGCTAGTTTCATTTATTTACTCAAGAGAGCATATAGCTAGCTACATCTATGGGCTTTTATGTTTCTCTGTTGTGCGTAATATGCCTTAGCCTATATCATATACTGTATGTATGGGATAATGGCACAATCATTTTGGGCTTTTTTGGGCTTGGGCTCATTACATTTTGTTAATGTAGGGCTCAGAAATGTATTTAATATATGGCTCATCAGGCTCAGGTAGCATCAGGTTTCAATTTTCATGCTGATCAAATCTCTAATCAAATCCAGACAAATTATGTGCTTTATAATGTTTTTTAATAACGCTTCCGGTTTTGGTGGGAAATATCGGGTTACCTGGGAGAAAAGGGATTTATTCTCGGGATGGAACATTTGTAAAATACCGGGAAAATATTCAACCTCAGTGAGTGTGGAGGAGGTGAAAAAAATATTGTTGTCTATCAACAATGACAAGCCACCTGGGTCTGACAACTTGGATGGAAAATTACTGAGGATGATAGCGGACGATATTGCCACTCCTATTTGCCATCTCTTCAATCTAAGCTTACAAAAAGTGTGTGCCCTCGGGCCTGGAGGGAAGCAAAAGTCATTCCGCTACCCAAGAATAGTAAATCACCCTTTTTTTACTAGCTCAAATGGGGCGGCAGGTAGCTGTCGATGTGCCCTTGAGCAAGGCACTTAACCCTAATTGCTCCTGTAAGTCGCTCTGGATAAGAGCGTCTGCTAAATGACTAAAATGTAATGTAAATGTAAATAGGCAACCAATCAGCCTGTTACCAACCCTTAGTAAACTGTTGGTAAAAATGGTGTTTGACCAGATACAATGCTATTTTACAGTAAATACATTAGCAACAGACTTTCAGCATGCTTATAGGGAAGGACATTCAACATGCACGGCACTTACACAACAGAATGATGATTGGCTGAGATACATTGATATTAAAAAAATTCTGGGAGCTGTTTTGTTAGAACTGTAACATTGGTAAAAACGTATATGTTATGGCTTTACACCCCTTCTATATTGTGGATCGAGAGTTACCTGTCTAACAGAACACAGAGGGTGATCTTTAATGGTAGCCTCTCCAACATAATCCAGGTAGAATCAGGCATTCCCCAGGGCAGTTGTATAGGCCCCTTACTTAAAAAAAATTAAAAAAAACTTTACTAATGACCTGCAACTGGCTCTGAGTAAAGCCAGTGCGTCTATGTATGCAGATGACTCAACACTATACACGTCAGCTACTATAGCAGGTGAAATCACTGCAACAATTAACAAAGAGATGCAGTTAGTTTCAGAATGAGTGTCAATAAATAATTTAGTCCTAAATATTTCAAAAACTAAAAGCATTGTTTTTGGGAAAAATCATTAACTAACACTAAACCTGAACTAAATATTGTATTGAATAATGTGGAAATTCAGCAAATTGAGGAGACTAAACTCTTTGGAGTAACCCTGGATTGTAAACTGATATGGTCAAAACAAATTGATGCAACAGTAGCTAAGATGGGGAGAGGTATTTCCATAATAAAGTGTTGCTCTGCCTTCGTAACAACAATATCAACAAGACAGGTCCTACAGGCCCGAGTTTTGTCGCACCTGGACTACTGCCAATGCATGTGGTCCAGTGCCACAAAGATGGATTTGGGAAAATTACAACTGGCCCAGAACAGGGCAGCACGGCTGGCCCTTAAATGTACACGGAGAGCTAACATTAATAAAATGCATGTCAATCTCTCATGTTTCAAAGTAGAGGAGAGATTGACTTCATCACTACATGTTTTTGTAAGAAATAGTGACATGTTGAAAACACCGAGCTATCTGTTTAAACTAATTAAACTACTAGCACACAGCTCGGACACCCATGCATACCCCACAAGACATACCACCAGAGGTCTCTGTACAGTCCCCAAGTCCAGTATGGAAAGTACACAGTACTACATAGAGCCATGGCTACATGGAACTCTATTCCACATTAAGTAACTCACTCAAGCAGTACAATCAGATTAAAAAACAGATACAAATACATCTTATGGAACAGCGAGGACTGTGAAAAGTCACACACACACACACACAAATACAAACACACACATACACACATAACATACACTATGCACAAATGTACCTCTGGATTGTGTGTTGTAGTAGAGTAGTGGCCAGAGGGCACACACTTAATGTATTGTGAAATCTGTTGTAAAACGTATTTTATTGTTTAATGTTTTTATTATAGTGTATTTTACTGCCTTAATTTTTGCTGGACCCCATAAATAATACAAATACAAAAATAGGGGATGATGGTGCTGGAACCTCCGAAGCCAGGAGGGCAAAGCTATTCGACAACTGGATTTGGGCCGTTCTTCCCAACACCAAAGAATCCCCACACGCCACTGGCTTCTTCCCTCCATTTGGCCTACGGCGGGTGACGTGCTTCCATGGTTTGGCAGCAGGAATGGTGACAGTATCATCCACTAAATCCATTAGAAGTGATGATCCCACTCATTAAAATGCAAATCAATTCATAACATTTTTGACATGCGTTTTTCTGGATTTTTTTATTCTGTCTCTCACTGTTCAAATAAACCTACCATTAAAATTATAGACTGATAATTTCTTTGTCAGTGGGCAAACATACAAAATCAGCAGGGGATCAAATACTTTTTTTCCCTCACTGTATACATGCCTTCGGTAAATACACCCAAAATAAAAAACATTTAAAAAATGAAATATACTATTCAGTCTCAAACAAATTCGTGCACTCGCTCTCGTGCACTCGTAGGGGCATCTGCCAGGATAACTTTGGCACCTTTTGGAAACAGAAGATGCTCTACAGAGAGGATGGGTTCCATCCAAATCATCTTGGTGCCTGGACCCTGTCCTCTCATTTCAAGGCTGCGCTGAGACATTAAGTTATAAACACCCCAAGTTCTGCTCAGGTAATCCAAATCATAAATTATCAGCATTATCATCAAACTGCAGGCCTGCAACAGGTAACCATCACTGACTCTTGTAATCCATGTCCTCGCTCAAAACATAGGCCCAATGTTACAGTTCTAGACAATCTTGTATCTAAACCAATTCAAGCTAGCCCTATCGTATTTCCTAATAAGGGGTTACCAACTGAGCATAGTATGCTTGTATTAGAGACCCCGTCTGATCTGAAATCCTGCAGCTGCGGCATTGGACTGATTCATGTACAGTGGGGGAAAAAAGTATTTAGTCAGCCACCAATTGTGCAAGTTCTCCCACTTAAAAAGATGAGAGAGGCCTGTAATTTTCATCATAGGTACACGTCAACTATGACAGACAAAATGAGAAAAAAAAATCCAGAAAATCACATTGAAGGATTTTTAATGAATTTATTTGCAAATGATGGTGGAAAATAAGTATTTGGTCAATAACAAACGTTTCTCAATACTTTGTTATATACCCTTTGTTGGCAATGACACAGGTCAAACGTTTTCTGTAAGTCTTCACAAGGTTTTCACACACTGTTGCTGTTATTTTGGCCCATTCCTCCATGCAGATCTCCTCTAGAGCAGTGATGTTTTGGGGCTGTCGCTGGGCAACACAGACTTTCAACTCCCTCCAAAGATTTTCTATGGGGTTGAGATCTGGAGACTGGCTAGGCCACTCCAGGACCTTGAAATGCTTCTTACGAAGCCACTCCTTTGTTGCCCGGGCGGTGTGTTTGGGATCATTGTCATGCTGAAAGACCCAGCCACGTTTAATCTTCAATGCCCTTACTGATGGAAGGAGGTTTTCACTCAAAATCTCACGATACATGGCCCCATTCATTCTTTACTTTACACGGATCAGTCGTCCTGGTCCCTTTGCAGAAAAACAGCCCCAAAGCATGATGTTTCCACCCTCATGCTTCATAGTAGGTGTGGTGTTCTTTGGATGCAACTCAGCATTATTTGTCCTCCAAACACGACGAGTTGAGTTTTTACCAAAAAGTTATATTTTGGTTTCATCTGACCATATGACATTCTCCCAATCCTCTTCTGGATCATCCAAATGCACTCTAGCAAACTTCAGACGGGCCTGGACATGTACTGTCTTAAGCAGGGGGACACGTCTGGCACTGCAGGATTTGAGTCCCTGGCGGCGTAGTGTGTTACTGATGGTAGGCTTTGTTACTTTGGTCCCAGCTCTCTGCAGGTCATTCACTAGGTCCCCCTGTGTGGTTCTGGGATTTTTGCTCACCGTTCTTGTGATCATTTTGACCCCACGGGGTGAGATCTTGCGTGGAGCCCCAGATCGAGGGAGATTGTCAGTGGTCTTGTATGTCTTCCATTTCCTAATAATTGCTCCCACAGTTGATTTCTTCAAACCAAGCTCCTTAGCTATTGCAGATTCAGTCTTCCCAGCCTGGTGCAGGTCTACAATTTTGTTTCTGGTGTCCTTTGACAGCTCTTTGGTCTTGGCCATAGTGGAGTTTGGAGTGTGACTGTTTGAGGTTGTGGACAGGTGTCTTTTATACTGATAACAAGTTCAAACAGGTGCCATTAATACAGGTAACGAGTGGAGGACAGAGGAGCCTCTTAAAGAAGAAGTTACAGGTCTGTGAGAGCTAGAAATCTTGCTTGTTTGTAGGTGACCAAATACTTATTTCCCACCATAATTTGCAAATAAATTCATTAAAAATCCTACAATGTGATTTTCTGGAGTTTTTTTCCTCAATTTGTCTGTCATAGTTGACGTGCACCTATGATTACAGGCCTCTCTCATCTTTTTAAGTGGAAGAACTTGCACAATTGGTGGCTGACTAAATACTTTTTTTTCCTCCACTGTAAATGGCAGAATCTTGATCATGAACATTTATTTTATTATAACTCTGGCTTCTCAAACCAACGTGGACATTCTGATAATAACTTAAACTTGGCTACGTAAGACTGTGCCGGATACTGATGTGTCTCTGGCTGGTTACAATGTTTTTAGATCTGACAGAGTTGGCTGAGGTGTCGCCATATTTTCAAAGGACAGCTTAAATGTTTCTCTATCTCTCACTACCTCTGTCCCTAATCAATGTTAATGCCTCTGTCCTTAAGCAAATGTAATGCCTTGGTAATAATGTCCAATTTACGCTAGTGGGAATTTATCGCCCTCCCTCTGCCTCAACAGGTGCTCTTAGCCAATTGTCTAACTTGCTATCTAACTATGCTAAATCTGAAATCTGGGTGACCTTAATCTGTATTGGTTGATGCCAGCTTCTGATAGGCTGAAAGAGATCTGCATTGTTTTAAATCAAACTAAGTTGATAACAGAACCAACACGCCCCAACTTTAAACACCCCTCAAGTATACAGCCAATGGAATTTTTGCTAATGAGTTCAGTGACCATTGTCCTGTTGCCTGCATAAGAGATGCAAAGCTACCTAAATCTCGCTCTCGCATTATTACAAATTATAGGAATTTTATTGAGCAACAATTATTGTCTGATCTGGGATTGTGTGAATGGGGGCTTTTGTTAGAAATCTCTGACTCGGATATGGCCCTACATTGTTTTGCTTCTTTGCTAAATTCTATTGCAGATAAGCATGCTCCCTTCACGAAACTAAGGGTAAGGGATAGAGCTAATCCCTGGTTCACACATTAACTATCAGAGAAACTTCAGGTGGGAAATGTAGCTTGTGTTAAAGCTAGGGTGACTGATTCTACGTCTGACTGGCAGTCTTTCAGACGCTTGAGAAAGAGATGTCTATCCCTGGTTAGAAAGCAAAATTGACACACACTACATGGCCAAAAGTGGAAACCCCTTCAAATTAGTGGGTTCAGCTTTTTCAGCCACACCCGTTGCTGACAGGTGCATAAAATCGAGCACACAGCTATACAATCTCCATTGACAAACATTGCAGTAGAATGGCCTGTACTGAAGAGCTCAGTGACTTTCAACGTGGCACAGTCATAGGATGCCACCTTTCCAACAAGTCAGTTCGTCAAATTTCTGCCCTGCTAGAGCTGCCCCGGTCATCTGTAAGTGCTGTTATTGTGAAGTGGAAATGTCTAGGAGCAACAACGGCTCAGCCGCGAAGTTGTAGGCCACACAAGCTCACAGAACAGGACCGCCGAGTGCTGAAGCGTGTAAAAATCGTCTGTCCTCGGTTGCAACACTCAGTACCGAGTTCCAAACTGCCTCTGGAAGCAACGTCAGCACAAGAACTGTTCGTAGGGAGCTTCATGAAATGGATTTCCATGGCTGAGCAACCGCACGCAAGCCTAAGATCACCATGTGCGATGCCAAGCGTCGTCTGGAGTGGTGTAAAGCTCGCCGCCATTGGACTCTGGAGCAGTTCTCTAGAGTGATGAATCACGCTTCACTATCTGGCTGTCCGACAGATGAATCTGGATTTGGCGGATGCCAGGAGAACGCTACCTGCCCCAATCTATAGTACTAACTGTAAAGTTTGGTGGAGTATGAATAATGGTCTGGGGCTGTTTTCCAGTGAAGAGAAATCTTAACGCTTCAGCATACAATGACATTCTAGACGATTCTGTGCTTCCAACTTTGTGACAACAGTTTGGGGAAGGCCCTTTCCTGTTTCAGCATGACAATGCCCCCGTGCACAAAGCGAGGCTCATAAAGAAATGGTTTGTCGAGATCGGTGTGGAAGAACTTGACTGGCCTGCACAGAGCCCTGACCTCAACCCCATTGAACGCCTTTGGGAGGAATTGGAACGCCGACTGTGAGCTAGGCTTAATTGCCCAACATCTGTGCCCGACCTCACTGATGCTCTTGTGGCTGAATAGAAGCAAGTCCCCGCAGCAATGTTCCAACATCTAGTGGAAAGCCTTCCCAGAAGAGTGGAGGCTGTTATAGCAGCAAATGGGGGACCAACTCCATATTAATGCCCCTGATTTTGGAATGAAATGTTTGACGAGCATACTTTTGGCCATGTAGTGTATTTTTCAACTGTGTATATGAGAATGGTGGGAATCCAGCTTCCTTGTGGAAGGTTGTCAAATCTCTGAAACAAAACTCCATTACATTTACATTTTAGCAGACGCTCTTATCCAGAGCGACTTACAGTTTAGTAATTGCATACATTATTTTATTTTTCATACTGGCCCCCCGTGGGAATTGAACCCACAACCCTGGTGTTGCAAACGCCATGCTCTACCAACTGAGCTACATCCCTGCCAGCCATTCCCTCCCCTCCATCCCCTCATTACCCTGGCAGGTTATGACAGCCTCTGGTCCCATAATAGATAAGATGGACATTTATGGTGCTTTTAATAACCACTTTGCATCAGCGGGCCAGCTATTTAATAAAATAGCTTCTGAAAACTCTGATTCCAGCAGAGGGAGGTATTTATTCACATCGAGCCAGGTTGCAAAAAATGATATATTCCCAGATACACATCTAATTTTCACTTCAACCATTTGATGTCTATGATGTACTGAGTGGCGCAGTGGTCTAAGGCACTGCATCACAGTGCTAACTGTGCCACTAGAGATCCTGGTTTGAATCCAGGCTCTGTCGCAGCCGGCCTCGACCGGGAGACTCATGGACGGCGCACAATTGGCCCAGCGTCGTCCAGGGTAGGGGAGGGAATGGCCGGCAGGGATGTAGCTCAGTTGATAGAGCATGGCGTTTGCAACGCCAGGGTTGTGGGTTTGATTCCCACGGGGGGCCAGTATAAAAAAAAAAATGTATTCACTAACTGTAAGTCGCTCTGGATAAGAGCGTCTGCTAAATGACTAAAATGTACTAAGTGCCTTATTGATGTAAAGAAAAATACACTAAGGCTGACTTACTTGATCCCTTTTTGCTACAGCTGTCTGCCCCACTTATTGCAGAATTATTAACCTATATTGTTTACTTGACAATTGTTTCTGGGGTATCCCTAAAATCATGAAAAATGGCACAAGTCCACCGTACAATTTCCAAGCTATCTTGCCTTGCCATAGTTTTAGAGTCCCTGGCCAACTCTCAGCTTAGAACTTTTTAAACTTCTCATTCTATTCTTAACCCTTGGCCTACAATGTCCTCGCCCCCCTTGGAAATGTAATTAACATAATACAAAAAATCCCCATCAAAATCCATCTGTTTAGGCGAGAGATATATGTTTATTTTGCATGGGCTGCATCTCAATCCATCACATTCGCCCATATCGCCCTTCTTCATCTGCGGTGAAAGGTGTCAGAGCTAGAGCAGTGTTTATATTTGCGTAATGTACAAATATGTGCATATTTAACCTCTACGGGATCGGTGTCCCGTATACGGGACGGTTGAGCTAATGAGCGCTAATGTGATAAGCATGACTGTTGTAAGTAACAGCAAACTTTCAAGGACATAGACATGTCTTATATGGGCAGAAAGCTTAACTTTTTGTTAATCTAACTGCACTGTCCAATTTACAGTAGCTATTACAGTTAAAAAATAACATTCTATTGTTTGAGGAGAGTGCACAACAACAACAAACTTATCACGGCAACTGGTTTGATACAGTCACCTCTGAAGGGAAATAATGTAATTACATTCAGTAATCTTTCTCTGATTTGTCATCCTAAGGGTCCCAGAGATAACATGAAGCATAGTTAAAAATAAAAATAAATCCATTTTTATATTCAAATTTAGGAACTAGGTTCTACAGTTTGAACCCCTGCTGTCTCTGGCTCCACACCCACCCCGCCCGGCCATCTACAGTTGAAGTCGGAAGTTTACATACAATTAGGTTGGAGTCATTAAAACTTGTTTTTCAACCAGTCCACAAATTTCTTGTTAACAAACTATAGATTTGGCAAGTCGGTTAGGACATATACTTTGAGCATGACACTTAATTTTTCCAACAATTGTTTACAGACATATCATTTCACTTATAATTCACTGTATCACAATTCCAGTGGGTCAGAAGTTTACATACACTAAGCTGACTGTGCCTTTAAATAGCTTGGAAAATTCCAGAAAATTATGTCATGGCTTTAGAAGCTTCTGATATGCTAATTGACATAATTTGAGTCCAAATGCCTGAAAGTACTACGTTCATCTGTACAAACAATAGTATGCAAGTATAAACACCATGGGACCACAGAGCCGTCATACCGCTCAGGAAGGAGATGCGTTCTGTCTCCTAGAGATGAACATACTTTGGTGCAAAAAGTGCAAATCAATCCCAGAACAACAGCAAAGGACCTTGTGAAGATGCTGGAGGAAACAGTTACAAAAGTATCTATATCCACAGTAAAACGAGTCCTATATCGACATAACCTGAAAGGCTGTTCAGCAAGGAAGAAGCCACTGCTCCAAAACCGCCATAAAAAAGCCAGACTACGGTTTACAACTGCAAATGGGGACAAAGATCGTACTTTTTGGAGAAATGTCCTCTGGTCTGATGAAACAAAAATAGAACTGTTTGGCCACAATGACCACCATTACGTTTGGAGGAAATAGGGGGCAGCTTGCAAACTGAAGAACACCATCCCAACCGTGAAGCACGGGGGTGGCAGCATCATGCTGTGGGGGTGCTTTGCTGCAGGAGGGACTGGTGCACTTCACAAAATAGATGGCATCATGAGGAAGGAAAATTATGTGGATATATTGAAGCAACATCTCAAGACATCAGTCAGGAAGTTAAAGCTTGGTATCAAATGGATCTTCCAAATGGACAATGACCCAAGCATACATCCAAAGTTGTTGCAAAATGGCTTAAGGACAACAAAGTAAACTATTGGAGTGGCCATCACAAAGCCCTGACCTCAATCCTATAGAAAATATGTGGGCAGAACAGAAAAAGCTTGTGTGAGCAAGGAGACCTATAAACCTGACTCAGTTACACCAGCTCTGTCAGGAAAAATTCACCCAACTTATTGTGGGAAACAATTTAAAGGCAATGCTAACAAATACTAATTTAGTGTATGTAAACTTCTGACCCACTGGGAATGTGATGAAAGAAAAAAAAGCTGAATTAAATCATTCTCTCTACTATTTTTCTGACATTTCACATTCTTAAAATAAAGTGGTGATCCTAACTGACCTAAGACAGGGAATTTTTACTAGGATTAAATGTCAGGAATTGTGAAAAACTGAGTTTAAATGTACACTGCTCAAAAAAATAAAGGGAACACTTAAACAACACCATGTAACTCCAAGTCAATCACACTTCTGTGAAATCAAACTGTCCACTTAGGAAGCAACACTGATTGACAATAAATGTCACATGCTGTTGTGCAAATGGAATAGACAACAGGTGGAAATTATAGGCAATTAGCAAGACACCCCCAATAAAGGACTGCTTTTGCAGTTGGTGACCACAGACCACTTCTCAGTTCCTATGCTTCCTGGCTGATGTTTTGGTCACTTTTGAATGCTGGCGGTGCTTTCACTCTAGTGGTAGAATGAGACGGAGTCTACAACCCACACAAGTGGCTCAGGTAGTGCAGCTCATCCAGGATGGCACATCAATGCGAGCTGTGGCAAGAAGGTTTGCTGTGTCTGTCAGCGTAGTGTCCAGAGCATGGAAGCGCTACCAGGAGACAGGCCAGTACATCAGGAGACGTGGAGGAGGCCGTAGGAGGGCAACAACCCAGCAGCAGGACCGCTACCTCCGCCTTTGTGCAAGGAGGAGTAGGAGGAGCACTGCCAGAGCCCTGCAAAATGACCTCCAGCAGGCCACAAATGTGCATGTGTTTGCTCAAACGGTCAGAAACAGACTCCATGAGGGTGGTATGAGGGCCCGACGTCCACAGGTGGGGGATGTGCTTACAGCCCAACACCGTGCAGGACGTTTGGCATTTGCCAGAGAACACCAAGATTGGCAAATTCGCCACTGGCGCCCTGTGCTCTTCACAGATGAAAGCAGGTTCACATTGAGCACATGTGATAGACGTGACAGAGTCTGGAGACGCCGTGGAGAACGTTCTGCTACCTGCAACATCCTCCAGCATGTCCGGTTTGGCGGTGGGTCAGTCATGGTGTGGGGTGGCATTTCTTTGGGGGGCTGCACAGCCCTCCATGTGCTCGCCAGAGGTAGCCTGACTGCCATTAGGTACCGAGATAAGATCCTCAGACCCCTTGAGAGACCATATGCTGGTGCGGTTGGCCCTGGGTTCCTCCTAATGCAAGACAATGCTAGACCTCATGTGGCTGGAGTGTGTCAGCAGTTCCTGCAAGAGGAAGGCATTGATGCTATGGACTGGCCTGCCCGTTCCCCAGACCTGAATCCAATTGAGTACATCTGGGACATCATGTCTCGCTCCATCCACCAACGCCACGTTGCACCACAGACTTTCCAGGAGTTGGCGGATGCTTTAGTCCAGGTCTGGGAGGAGATCCCTCAGGAGACCATCCGCCACCTCATCAGGAGCATGCCCAGGCATTGTAGGGAGGTCACACAGGCACGTGGAGGCCACACACACTACTGAGCCTCATTTTGACTTGTTTTAAGGACATTACATCAAAGTTGGATCAGCCTGTAGTGTGGTTTTCCACTTTAATTTTGAGGGTGACTCCAAATCCAGACCTCCATGGGTTGATAAATTTGATTTCCATTGATAATTTTTGTGTGAATTTGTGGTCAGCACATTCAACTATGTAAAGAAAAAAGTATTTAATACGATTATTTCATACATTCAGATCTAGGATGTGCTGTTTAAGTGTTCCCTTTATTTTTTTGAGCAGTGTATTTGGCTAAGGTGTATGTAAACTTCCGACTTCAATTCCTCATGCATGTAATCATTAACTTCTAGTGTAGGCAGTATTTCAAGCTAGAATCCAACAGTCCCCCCTTTTTGAATAGTACCTCTATACTGTTCAACATTACATACACTTTGAAATTATTTATAAATGAACAGAAAATAAAACATGATTAACATTCTCAGTTGATTAGTATATTTACACCTCCGAGACTTATGGTCTCTGATCTATAATCACACTATGCACATTCTTATTCCCCCCTCTCGTCGTACAACTGATAAGGACATTTTAGCTGTAGCTTTTGACTTCCTCCATTTCAGCTGGAGCTTTTGACTTTCTCCTTTTCCTCCTTCTGGTTCCTAAGAGAGTGATAGCACATGACTTGAAACGCAAAAAGAAACACAAAACACAACAAGTATTAATAATGCGTTAAGCTATGCATAATTATATATGCAAAGAAAAAATGAAGTTTGATAACATGACGATTCCCACTCTCTCTTAGCCTGACTTTATACCTTCAGGATACTGTTCTGCTGGTGTCCACAAAAATTAAGGCCCTAAAAAACCTCCTCATGCTTTTAACCAGTCTTCCCCCATTAGGCTACAGGATACAAAAACTGTGATAACGGCATATAATTTTCACTTCGCTCCCCATCTTCTTCTTCCTCCATGGCCACCCAATATACATGTGCTGTGACCTTAATCAACTTTACCTCATCTTGAGGCAAATCAGCACATGTTTAAATGTATTTGGCTAATGTGTATGAAAACTTCTGACTTCAACTGTAGATGTGTGAAAGTTAGTGTATAAGCTAAAGATCCATAATGTATGACATTCCTGGGAGTGTGTAAACTTACATTTTGTATTACCATATCATTTTTGTATGTTCTCTATAGTTATGTACTTCAAAATGTATCAATTGACCAATTTGGCACATTGGGGCAGACTTGATGCATTTACATTTACAAATTGGTGCATTCAACTTAGGATAGCCAGTGGGACAACCACCTTTAAAAATATAATAATATGGGGGGGTGGGGGAGGGGGGGGGGGGGGGGTAGAAGGATTACTGTTATACTATTCCAGGTATTCCTTAAAGAGGTAGGGTTTCAAGTGTCTCCGGAAGGTGGTCAGTGACTCCGCTGTCCTGGCGTCGTGGGGGAGCTTGTTCCACCATTGGGGTGCCAGAGCAGCGAATAGCTTTGACTGGGCTGAGCGGGAACTGTGCTTCCGTAGAGGTAGGGGGGCTAGCAGGCCAAAGTGTTTCCTTTTAAATAGTATCAAGAATATGCATATCCTTGCTTCAAGTCCTGAGCTACAGGTAGTTAGATTTGGGTATGTCATTTTAGGTGAAAATTGAAAAAAAGGGTCAGAGACCATCTAATTTGCCCATTTTTTTTTGTTATCTAAACATTTTAATACAACAAAGTATTAAAATGGTGAATAAGCTGGATGTGGAGGTCCTGGCCTGGCGTAGCTACACATGGTCTGCGGTTGTGAGGCCGGTTGGACGTACTGCCAAATTCTCTAAAACGACATTGGAGGCAGCTTATGGTAGAGAAATTAACTTTGAAATTATCTGGCAACAGCTCCGGTGGACATTCCTGCAGTCATCATGCCAATTGCACGCTCCCTCAAACAGACATCTGTTGCATTGTGTTGTGTGACATAACTGCACATTTTAAAGTGGTATTTTATTGTCCCTAGCACAAGGTGCACCTGTGTAATGATCATGCTGTTTAATCAGCTTCTTGATATACCACACCTGTCAGGTGGATGGATTATATTGGCAATGTAGAAATGATCACTAATAGGGATGTAAACAAATTTGTGCACAACATTTGAGAGAAATAAGCTTTTTGGAACATTCCTCAAATTTTTTATTTTAGCTCATGAAACATGTGACCTTTACATGTTGAGTTCATATTTTTGTTCAGTATATATTTGTGTCACATTCACCTGACAAGGCATCACATCCTACTAAAGTGTGGTGCCTTGCCTTAAATACACAGAAAATAGGCATTTAAATACAAATACTTAAATAAGCATGTAGGTGTCTGCGCGCCCATGTGTTTGTGTGCATGTGTGCACGTGCTTGCGTATGCATGGTTTTTTGCTACAGACCATTAATTTCATTTGCTGTAATAGTCTCTGATTTTTTAAAGAACAATTGTATTGGTTTTTCCTTTTTTTGCCCCAAGAACATTGAATGTTCCAGTAAACTAAGTAAATAATTAGATCGATGATGCAATTAATATGTCTGAGAAATTGCCTATTGAGGCCAGACAGCAGTGTTTTCTCTCTCAAAACAGACCCATTATTCTAAAATACATCACTACTGACCTCATCAATATACACCTTTGTGAAGTTGCCAAATGTTGGCAGAAAGACTTACTACTCTACACTTGTATTTGAGGGATTGAATTTCACGGTTTCTGTATGTGTTTGCGTGATTAGAAGTGCAGAGCTCATATTTATTTATTTATTCTCCTAATCCTGGAGGATACAGTCCAAGTTCACTGCAGTATTGGAGTATAAGCAATTAAAATGACTATCTTCGTTTTGAGCCAGCAATTTGCCAGATATCAGGAGTTGTGTGGGTGTGTGAATGAGTAATTGTATTGTGAGTAGGTGTGTGACTGAGAAATCACTTGAATGAGGGAGTGTGTGAGGGCTTTAGCAAGGGAGTGTGTGAGCATTTATGTATTGTAAGGGAATGACGTGCCATAGAGAATGATAGTATCTCATTGTCTCGTAGAGTGATGTTAGGAGTCAAGTAGTAGGCAGATTAGAAACTCTTTATATATACAGTAGTATCTCTTGACAAATATTAATGTATGTTAGCCCTGCTGCTGAATCTGAGATGGGGGTGGGGGGTCTTCTAGTGCAGTGGATCAATGTAAATGATTATTTTTGATGAATCATGATTTCGCGAAGGGATAATTGAAGTGGGGCAGGGAAAGTTCTCTAGTGGTGCACAATAAATGTTGCTAACTTGCAAAATAGTTGCATTGAAAGCATTGTCAGGAACCTCCATATTGTAATTCAGTGCATTGCATTACAAACACAGATGGACGTCTCTGACAGGGAGGGGGATAGGCTTTGTCAGAATCTTTGAGAGGGGAGGTACTTGTCTGCTGATTTTGTTCAGTACATATTTGAACACCTCGACCCCCAGAAACCAAATTGAGTAGTTGGCCAGAGCACACAAGATTTGATATGGGTTCTGAGATGAAACAGGTATTATAAAGCTATTACATAGGCTTTAAAGTTTATACCCTATGTGTGAATACACTATACACAATATAATAACTTTTTTGTTCGTCCTCAAGGTAAACAAATGTACATCCAAAAGTCAAGATTTTTTGTTTTTGTCCCTTCTAGGTGATTTGGTGTCACGGGCCATGCACCATCTCCAGCCATTGCACATTAAGAACCATAGCAACGGCACGCCGGTCGACCAGAAGAGCGGCTCGGTGCACTGGGAGCCTGAGGCTCTCTACACCCTCTGCTATTTCATGCAATGTCCCCAGATAGAGTGGGAGAACCCCAAAGTGGAGCCCTCCAAAGTCACCCTGCAGACCGAGAGGTGAGTCCAACCTTGCTCTCAAACATCAAAGATGTGGCATCATTTATTTAAGGTGGCCAGTCATTTACATACATACATACATACATACATACGTACATAGGTGCTTGTTAAATATGTGTGTGGAGCACTAGCAATGGAAAACAATGTAAATCTCACTTATTTGCTCCTTTGTGGCTCAGTTAGTAAGAACGTGGCACTACCCATACTACACTCTTAGATGTAAAGGTGCCTGGAAGAACCTTTTGGGTTGCTTCACCGGTGGAACCTTTCCAGTTGAAAAAGGTTCCTTGAGGAACTCCTGTGTAAAGGTTCAAACCTGAACCTTTTCGTGATGGGAGGGGTTCATTTTGAACCTTTTTAATAATATATTGTAGCGGTGACAGCCTATCAGATTGGTGGTGTGGCTTTCAGACAGTTATTTTTGGTCACTCGTTAGCATAAATGTTCTTCCTGTTTATCATGTTACATTTGTACACTGCTAATTAAAATGTTCCTTGAATATTGATTAATATTACATATTGGAATGTAATATTACTGATTTCAAACAAAGTGGTAATTATTCCTACATTTCCATAGGCTATAGCAAAAATCATACACATCTGTTACCTTCATTAAAGCTACAAAACTGTCAGTGTTGAAGCTTAACATTAGATGACAACAGAACAGATTAACAGGAATGACATTTAAGCTAACGGGTGGCCCCCAAAAATGTTATCTTAAAGCCACGCCCCTACTAAGCTACACCTCCACTCCAGGGTTCCTCCAGGAACCCGTTGCTACATTAAACCATTAAAGGTTCCTCCAAGAACCTCTCAACTAACCGAAGGTTCAAATATGAACCATTGACTAAAACGCATATTGGCCAGTGTTACCTAGTGTTGATTTTTCAGTGTAATATTTCTAGTGTTGATTCAGGTGTTAAATTAACACTGTAAGTTGCTGTAAAATATCCCCAGTGTTGGTGTTAATAACCAGCGTTAAACAAAACCACCCCCATCATTATCATATTTCCCAGCATGCTCTATTGTAGGTAGATTTTTTCAAATTGTTTCTTTCAATATCTATCTTTTTGTTTTCATTGATTAATTGATCTTATGCTACTCAAATATAAATAACATAACTTTTTCTAAACTAATCCAATCTGTTACTTGGACTTATTGCACCAGTTACTGAAATGGTTTAGGTAGACTCCTTTATAACTGGGCCCAACCCTGACAGTCATTCTGAATGAAGGTTGTGGGTGAATACAAATTCCAACTGTTCGGTATCGTAACTCTGGCTGGATTCCAATAGAAATTACACATCACTTTGCAAGGCATCATAATGTGACATGCAGGCCTGAAAACCTTGAGTTTCAGGGTGAAACTTCCCCCCAAAATAAGGCCTTATTACTAGTTTGACGAGAAGGACCAAGGCGCAGCGTGATATGCATTCATATTTATTTCACGAATAAACACATGACAAAACAACAAACGAAACGTGAAGTCCAAGGTAACACACAAACATACCTTACACGGAACAAGATCCCACACCCCACTAGTGCCAACAGGCTACCTAAGTATGGTCCCCAATCAGAGACAACGAGCTACAGCTGCCTCTGATTGGGAACCACCCTGTCCAACATAGATCTAAACGATCTAGAAACTAACCTAGACAAACCCAACACAGAAAATACACACCCTGACTCAACAAATACAAGTTCCTAGAGTGAGGGCGTGACAGTGCCCCCCCCCCCCCAAAGGTGCGGACTCCGAACGCGCTACATAAACCTAACAGGGTAGGGGCCGGGTGGGCATTCCGCCTCGGAGGCGGACCCGGCTCCGGGTGTGACCACCACTTTCTCTCCACCTCCCCGTTGCACCCCTGGTCTGGTCTGGACCTTGGCGCGCTGCTTCCTCTCTCCTTCCTCCCACGAAGTACCACACCCTGTCTGGACCCTGGTGTGGGAGACCCCGAACCTGGAGAGGGGCTGACGTCTGGGTCTGGACTGGAACCACTGACTGGAGCTGGACCCGACGATGGTGGTTCGAACTGCTCTGGCTCCGGGGTGGAGCCGCTGACCGGAACTGGATCAGGCACCGGTGGAGCGGACTGCTCTGGCTCCGGAGTGGAGCCGCTGACCGGAGCTAGACTAGACCCCGGTGGAGCGGATTGCTCTGGCTCCGGAGTGGAGCAGCTGAACAGGCACGGGCCGTGCCGGACTGGACACACACACCACTGGCTTGGTGCGGGGAGCAGGAACGGGCCGGACTGGGCTGACGACGCGCACCCCTGGCTTGGTGCGGGGAGCAGGAACGGGCAGGACTGGGCTGATGACGCGCACCACTGACTTGGTGCGGGCAGCAGGAACGGGCCGGGCCAGGCTGGCGACGCGCACCGCTGGCTTGGTGTGAGGGACAGGAACAGGTCGGACCGGTCTGGCGACGCGCACCACTGGCTTGGTGCATGGGGCAGGGCCGGGCCGGGCTGGCGACGCGCACCACTGACTTGGTGCGAGGGACAGGAACAGGTCGGACCGGGCTGGCGACGCGCACCACTGGCTTGGTGCATGGGGCAGGGCCGGGCTGGCGACGCACACCACTGACTTGGTGCGAGGGACAGGAACAGGCCGGACCGGCTGGCGATGCGCACCACTGGCTTGGTGCGAGGGACAGGAATAGGTTGGACCGGGCTGGCGACCCGCACCACTGGCTTGGTCACGGGGCAGGAACAGACCGGGCCGGGCTGGCGACACGCACCACTGACTTGGTGCGAGGGACAGGAATAGGCCGTACCGGGCTGGCGATGTGCACCACTGGCTTGATGCGAGGAGCAGGAACGGGCTGAACAATACTGGGAACACCCACCACTGGCTTAGTGCGGGAATCAGGAACGGTGCGAGGAGCGGGACTGGGTTCCTTCATTAACCCCCGCTCCTTCTGCTGCCTAACCAGCTCCTCTCGCCGTGCCTCTACACTTTCCTTCTGTTCCCTCTGAACCAATGACCCCCTTAATCTGGCGGCCTCCTCGGCTAAACGGCTGAAACGCTCTATCGCGGCCTCTTGCTGCCTCGTCGTCCACGGCGTGAGCCCCCCCAAATTTTTGGGGCTTGTCTCAACCCCGTGATCATGGCCTCCATCCCTCTTGCCAGACTCTCGCTCATCTCCTCCCACGTCCATCCTCTCTCCTCGTCACGCTGCTTGATCCAGGATTGGTGGGATCTTCTGTCAGAATCGTTTACGGACGAGAAGGACCAAGGCGCAGCGTGATATGCATTCATATTTATTTCACGAATAAACACACGACAAAACAACAAACGAAACGTGAAGTCCAAGGTAACATACAAACATACCTTACACGGAACAAGATCCCACACCCCACTAGTGCCAACAGGCTACCTAAGTATGGTCCCCAATCAGAGACAACAAGCTACAGCTGCCTCTGATTGGGAACCACCCTGGCCAACATAGATCTAAACGATCTAGAAACTAACCTAGACAAACCCAACACAGAAAATACACACCCTGACTCAACAAATACAGGTCCCTAGAGTCAGGGCGTGACATAGTTGTATTGTGTTAAATAATTTCACTTTAATGATAACAGTATGATCTCACATGGTGAATACCACAGGACTGAAACTGGATAAATGCAACACGTCTGTCACTAACAAATACAGTCATGGCTGGTAATTCCACAATTCACTTGAAAGGCAAGGCACTCTGGAAAATATGCAAATAAGGCTTTACACTAAGCAGTGTGTTAATTTAACATTGAAAAGTGTGGACACGTATAGACGCTGGACATTTACATTTTAGTCATTTAGCAGACACTCTTATCCAGAGCGACTTACAGTTAGTGAGTGCATACACATTTTTTTTTTTCATACTGGACCAGTGTTAAATTGAACACTGTCAGTGTTGATTTAACCCTGGAGAATTTGCTGTGTAGCAATGGTTCCTTGAAGAATTCCAGAGGTTACTTGAGGATCTCCAGTGTTTACTCGAGTTACCACTAATTCTAAGTGTACACTCTTAGAGGTAAAGGAGCCTGGAAGAACCTTTTGAACCCCAAAAGATTGCCACTGTGGGGGAACCTTTTTAGGTTTAAAAGGTTCCTTGAAAAGGTTAATGAAGGAACCCCTGTGACATGGAACATATCTTTTTGCAAAATATTCACAGATTGAAGCTTATACTTTGATACTGAGCTGCCTGTGTAAAGGTTCAAACAGGAATGTTTTGTGATGAAGGGGTTACATTTTTCACCGTTATAATAACATACTGTTGCAGCGACAGCCTTTCAGAAGATTGGAGGCGTGGCTTATTGGAGTTGTGGCTTTCAGTTAGTTATTTTTGGCCACCCGTCAGAGAAAAATATAATTCCTGTTCATCATACTAAGTTTGTACACTACATTTTCCAGTTTCCCTTAAATACTTATGCATTTTTCATATTGCAATATAATATTAACATAGCAGGTTTCATACAGTATAGTAATAAAGTGGTAGCTATTCCAACATTTGGACATGCATAGGCTGTTGAAACTAAAATACCTCTATAAGCCACATTGAAGCTACAAAACTGTTCAACCTTAACATGTTTTTTTTTTCCTTCCCTCACCTTTATTTAACCAGGTAAGTCAGTTGAGAACAACTTTTCATTTACAATTGCGACCTGGCCAAGATAAAGCAAAGCAATGTGATAAAAACAACAACAACACAGAGTTACATATGGGATAAACAAAACGTACAGTCAAAAACAAAATAGAAAATCTATTTACAGTGTGTGCAAATCTAGTAAATTATGAAGGTAGGGCAATAAGTAGGCCATAGTGCAAAATAATTACAATGTATTATTAACACTGGAGTGAAGACGATGTGCAAATAGAGATACTGGGGTGCAACTGAGCAAAATAAATAACAACATGGGGATGAGGTAGTTGGGTGGGCTAATTACAGATGGGCTGTGTACAGGTGCAGTGCTGTAAAAACAATACAACAGAACAGATTAACAGGAATAACATTTACT